AGGTAAAAAAAATGTATAAAAATAGATACACCGTTATATACAAAAATATTCGAATAGAATATACATACAAATATATGCATATATCTATATATCTGTGTATATTGTGTTTTTATTTCATTGGCAATGTGACTGAATATGCAAAAAAAATTAAGTGAATGAACAGCAAAAGTTAAATTTTAGCGCAAAATTTGGCACAATAAATTAAAAAAGTTAATTGAAAAACTAGACATTTCAATAAACAAGCAGAATTTAATGAAAAGAAATAAAATCAACATAGAATTACATCAGATAAATCGAAATATAAAATAAAATAGAAACAACACATATGATGAAATCAATTGAAATAAGCTAATAAAATTTAAAAAAAAACTTTAATCTAAATAAAATAAAAAGAAATAAAAAAACAACACAATAAAATGCAATAAAAATAAATAAAATAAAATAACATAACTAATAAGTAAAATGAAATAAAAAATAACAAATTAAACCAAAAACAACTAAAAAGAAAAGTAAATAAAATAAAACAACACAAAATAAATGAAATAAAACAAAACAAAAAAATGAAAAAAAAACAAAACAAAAAGAAATTAACAGATTAAATTAAATAAATAAGAAACGAAATAATATTTATAATAGAAAATAAATAAAATGAAATAAAAAATAAATTTAAATTAAATAAAATCAAATAAAACAGAATGGAAATGGAAACAGAATTATATAATAAATTCGAAATGTAAGCAAAAGCGAATATATTAAAAATTAAATGAAAGGCAAGAAATTATTAAATATATAAAATAATAAAGCAAATTAAAAAGCGAAATTAAAACAATAAAACATAAAAATTAGGTTCTAAAAAATGAATATCAAATAAAAGAAAAAAACACAAAATAAAATAAAGCAAATTTTGATATAAGATAAATTGAAAAATAAATAAAATAATATTTGATAAAACAGAATGAAAAATAAAAATCTTAGTAAAACAATTAAAAAAGAAATGAAACAAAATAAAAACTTAAGATAGCACTTAGACAGTAAAAAGATAAATAAATAAAAAACAAACTAATAATAATAACAATAATAATAAATAAATAAAAATTAAATTACAAATAAAATAAGATAAAATAAAAAAATATAAAGAAAAATAGTGTCGAAAAAAGACATATATTTTTTACATACAATTTTTCTTTAAAATTAGAAATAAACAGAAAATAATTTGAAATAAAGAATAGAAAACAAAATAAATAAATAAAAAGTAAAATTAAATGCAATGCTAAATATAAGAATTATAATTAAATTACATAAAGAAGGGAAATTAAATAAATTTAAAACATAATAAAATATAATATAAAATATAAAATAAAAAACACAAAATAAAGTATTAAATTAAAAAGGAAATATAAAACGTTTTTTTTTGTGTTTTATTAAATAATTTAAAATAAAAAAGTAAGTTATAATAAATAATAAAACAAAATAGAGTAAAATAAAAGATAAAAACACATAACATATAAAAATTAAATAATATAATATTAATATGAAATAAAAGAAATTAATTAAAATAAATGGAAAAAAATAAACAAATAAATAAAAAAGTGAAATAAAAGACAAAAAAGAAAACATAAAAAAATAATAGTAATTAAAATAAAATAAATAATATAAAAATTTAATTAAATAAAACAAAACGAATGAAATTAAATAAAAAAAATAGATAAATGATATTAAAATAAAATTGAAAAAAATAAATACCTACATTAAAAACACTAAAAAAAATAGACACATAATGATGTTGAAATAATTTAATTACACAAAAAAGTTAATGAAATAAAATAAGGAAATTATGTTAATAATAATATATAATAAAATTAAATAAAAAAACTAAATAAATTAAAGGGACCACAAAAATAAAAAAATAACAAATTACCATAAGAAATTAATTAATATAAAAGTGTTAACAAACAAAATTAGAAAAAGTATTGCATAAAATGATAATATGAACAGCTTATTAGTTAAATTAGTTTAGTATTTGCATTTGCACAATTTACAGGTATTCGAAAAAAAAAAAATAATTTATTTTACACATTTCACATATCGCCAATTGTGCATTTTTAAGTGTTATATATTTCGAAAAATTTATGTGGAAACCCTTGAAAAGGGTGGCATGTTACACAATGCAGAAAATAGAATAAAAATAAAAATAAAAATTAAAAAAAAATAAATAAAATGCGCTTATAAATATTTCCCTCATAAATATGTACGAGCGAACCGTTTTTTTTTTTTACTGTGGCTTTAAAAATGATTAATTAAATTCTCTTGAAATTAAATATGTATTTGCTAGTGAAAGTATGTATGTGGGTATAAAATACTTTTTATCTCATAAAGCCTGAAAGAAGGGCTCATAAAAAACATACTACTTTAGTTGATTGATTTATTTCAATACTAGTGAATATAATGTAGAAACAAAAGAGTTGAATTAATGCTAAATTTAATAAAATTAAATTAATATCTTTTTAATCTTAATTAATTTAAGATTAATAATTTTAGCAGAGTTTTCAATGCTTAAAAAAATAAATAAAACATCTACATACATATAAACATGCAATTAAAGTTTGACTTAAAATTCTGATAAGTTTTCAACCTAAACCATTTTTGATAAACATTTTGAACAGTTTTTTTTTAACATTAGACAATAAGCGTGTAGAAAATGTGTTTAATATACGTAAATAACTGTGTAAATAATGAAAAAAAGAATAAATAAATAAATGAATAAAAACACATTTATTTAGACCGGCCTCTCAGGAAAAACACCATAATTTAATATTTATAGCGTCACGTCACATAAAAACGTAATTAATTTTATAAACATATGTACAGACATTCACTATCGAAAATATGAATGTATGGAAAAGTTTTATTCATTTAATTATTTATTTTTACCAAAGCTTCCTTAAATTTACTTTATGAAACTGGCTTTTTATTCATTTGTTTTATGTAAAAATATTTTTTAATTATTTTTATTTTTTCTAATTTTTTCTTTATTTTTTTAATTTTGTTTTCATTATTTTTTAATGTTATTTATTTTTTAACTTTGGTTTAATTATTTTTTATTTTTATTTATTTTTTTATTTTTATTTATTTTTATATTTTTATTTATTCTTTTATTTTTTTTATTTATATTTATTTTTTTTATTTTTATTTATTTTTTTTTTGTATTTTCATTTCTCCTTTTTTTATTTTTTTTTTTTTTGTATTTTCATTTCTCCTTTTTTTATTTATTTTTTTTTTATTTTTTATTTCTATTTCTTTATTTTTTTTATTTTTATTTTTTTTTTATTTTTATTTTTTTTTTAAATTTATTTATTTTTATATTTGTATTTATTCTTTTATTTGGATTTTTTTATATTTTTTTTTTTTTATTTTTTTTTTTATATTTTTAATTTTTATTTTATTTATTTATTTGTATATTATTTTTTTTTATTTCTCATTTCTTTATTTATTTTGTTTTATTTTTATTTCTCCTTATTTTTTTATTTATTTTTATTTATTATATATTATATATTTATATTTTTTTTTTTATTTATATTTTTAAATTAATTTTTATTTATATTTTTTGAAATTAATTTTTGGTTTAGTTATTCATACGTTTATAGCCAGCAAGTGTGCCAAAAGCAATGACAGTTAAATAATTTTTTTTAATTACCGTTTTGTACTTTTATATATTACATACATACTCGTACGGATATCTATGCATCTACAAGTATAAGATAGTTTATACTAAGCAGATTAGAAACCAGACATTAGTAGCTACAAATAAAACGAAATTCGTACATATGTACATATATGTATATATACATATGTACATATATGTATGTATGTATGTATTTATTTCTAGCTTAAAGATATCAATTACGTAATCTGCAATTTTTCCTGCAAATTTTTCTTACTTTTTCGCCAAATTTGCCATTTTTTATTGCAAAAACACAGGGACCGAAAGTATAACCAAAGGAAACCAAAGGAAAGCGCGTTGCGTATACAGTGAAAATTTTTGCTTTATACATGTTGTACAAAATACCATCTACAAAGACCGTGAATTTTATAATTAGAAAAAACAACTTTTTTTTGTATTCATTTATCTATTTTTCTTTTGAAAATCATTGACCAAAAAAATTAATGTGTACACGGGCAATGCTCGGTGATATTGCCAAATGTTGTTGTGTAAATATTTTCGTGTTCAAAGCGAACAAGAAGCATGTTAAAATAAATACAATTTTTTCGAACACAAAACACATTTGAAAAAAGCATCGTTGTAGAATTTTTGAAAGCTACTTAATTTTGTAAACAAATTTTTGCTAATGCCTGTAGGTACATACATACATATATGTGGGGAAAATAAAATGCGCAAAATTTTCACAAAACAAAAATAAATAAAAAATCACACAAAATCCTAGATTACTGTAACTACTAAGAAGTGGGAGGCGGCGGCGCAAGATGCGCGCGCAAAATATTATTATTACTTTTGTTTTTTTTTTTGCACTTTCATATTTAAACAAATGAAACTTGTAGTGCAAACGCCACCAAAAAAAAAATCAATGCCCAGCCATCAGTCAGACACAAATTAACAGCAACAACTCACAAATTAGCAAACCCGCGCGCCACTTGCCTACCTACACACCTACACACACAAATATGATACAAAACGCTCGGAAACGCTGCCGTTGCAAGCGTGAGAAGAAAAAGAGCGTGCGAGAATGCACAAAGAGCATGCAATATTGCGCTCTACAGTGGCACAGACTCTTTATATACTCACACAATTCTCTTGCATGCACTCACTCTCTCTCTCTCTCTCTCTATTTCAGCGCACATATCAGCAATTAAGAAAAACATAAACAAATTAAAAAAATAACAAAATAAAGTGTGGTGAGAATTACAGTTGAAAGAATTACCAAATTCAGTTTGCAAAAACAAAACAAAACAAACAAAGCAAGAGGAAAAAAAACAGCACCACAATGAGTGGCCGTGATAGTCGTGGTGGCAGTGGCCACCAACCGCTCAGCAATGCCATGGGCAAAATTAAGGATAAACTCACACGTTCAACGGTAAGTTCTGTTTTTTTTTTTTTTAATTTTATTTCTAATTTCTTATATTTTATTTTTTTAAATGTATTAACAACCAACCAACCAACCACCCACTCATGTCATTCCAGGACACCTACCAACGCGTCGAAGAAGGGCTCTCACAATCGAATACCGCCACCAGTTTGGACACAATACTACCTGAGGACCCATTCCTCTTTCCACGTGGTCCCACAGCACAGCAACGTCAAATGGCGCCACAAAATAGTTTCAGCGTTGATGACACACCATTACATTTTGGCCCCATCATCGAAGACAGTGACATACATCCACCGCCAACAGCGCAGCCGTTGCCACTGCCGCTAAGTCAGGCAGCGGCCAAAACGAGTGGTGGTAGTCAAGATTTTGTGGCATTACCGCCACCACCAGCCGCCACACAACACAGTCACCGCGATCATCATCAACGCAGCACTGTATCGTTGGCTAATAATAATAATAATAACAATAATGATGAGCTGCAGCGCAGCAAACAGTCGTTGAAGGGTTCACGTGTGTCCTTCGAACGTCGCGAGGCTGATAGCAGTGATGATGATAATTTCGAGAGTCGACGCAGCGGTTATCAACAACAGAAAACAGTTAGTGTGGATCATAAGGGTATATTGAAGGTGAGTTTAGGGGATTTGCGGGTAAACATAGACAAAAGAAAAATTTTATTAATTAATTTCGTTTATTTTATTTCGCAGGATCTTAAAAATATTTTGGCAAATGATAATCGTCGCCAATTTCAAGCTAAAAAGCATGTCTCACTCGATGTCAAGGGTACACGTTTCCTAGAGGATATGCTAAAGGATTCCTCTTCTGAGGAGGAGTTCCACAAAAACCGACGTGAATTCCAAGGACGAAAACACCAAAGTTTAGATCCGCGCGTCAGTTTCAAACTTGAGAAAGTATTACAAGGTTCGAGTACGGACAGTGACGAAGAGGCAGAGGATGATGTGGAACATAAACGTCTGATACACCGTCCAAAAGACATAACCAAACCGGTAATAATTGATTTGAAGGATTTGGAAAGTGAAAGTGATGAAGATTATGAGGCAAGCCGTCAACATTTCCAACAGCAACGCTCCATAAGTACGGACTCAAGGAAGAGGTAAGTGGTTTTTTGGTGCATGTGGTGGAGTGTGGTATTTAATTTGAAATTTTCCCCCTTTTTTGCTTGCAGTCATAGACTGTACGAAATGGATGAGATAGGCAAAAAGAAGAATGAAAACCTGCGCAACGCTGTACCTTTTGTTAGACAAATTACCGAAGATGGTAAACCCAAATTGGAAGTATACCGGCCCACAACGAATCCAATCTATATTTGGACGCAGGTGAGTGTTGAGCTTTAAGAATTTAAATATCTAAGAAATCTATCTATCTATAGAAATTACTTAGCGTGGTTTATAGTTGCCCTGGCGGCTTCTTATCGAAGTTGAGCTCTATTGTAAAATGAATATTATAAGCTAGACTGCACATTAGGGTAGTGCAAGAGTTCATGAAATTGTTCGGCATTAAGTTTTAAAATAAAAAAAAAGGATTTTTGAAAGCTTTAAGGGAGTTGAATTCATTTTTTAAATATTTTGAAAAGTGTTGCCTACTTTTTGGCGCAATGCCATCTTCCCTCCAGAAGAATTTAAACATTCATTGGAAAAATGATAACAATTTTCAATTCAAAATTGAAACCCACAATAGCTATTCTCTTCACATGCTATACCAAAGAACGTATTAAGCATTATGACAAGCAGTTATGACGCAAATTTTAAAATGTATTTCTATTTGAAACAAACATTTTCTCCTTTTAGTAAATAAGTGAGTCTATAAATAGCGCTGACTACTTAGAATATGGAAAAGTGCTATAAATCGTTTCTGGAATAGCCATAAATAACGCTAAGAAGCAAACAATTTTAATTAAAGCACAAGTGTAGGCAAACAGGGTGTGACAAGTGAAAGGACAACAATATTAGAACTTAAAAATGTATAGTTTGCAATTAAGTTTATAATTTTTAATTAACATAACAATTTTAAAATAAATTACCATAGTTTTTAGCAGATATATATCTGGAAATAAATTATTTTATTGCCTACAATTGATAATTGAAGATTTTTAGCTTTCAAGTCACCTTGTATCCATGCAAGTTAGACTGAAGGAAGTTAAAGGATATGAATGAAAGTAAATTTCTAAATCACTATAAATAACTATGTTAGAAGAAAAATGATTTTTTTTAATATGTATGCATTTAAATATATGTATGTATCTTCATACAAATCTAAATATGTTTAAGTCGTCAAAGAATCAACAAATCTTAAAATATGTTGTACAAAAAATTATTCAAAATTATCTTTCGGTTTAATGCATACACATATGTAGACCGATCAAGGAATGATACAAGCCTGAGTTTCGCATAAAAGTATTCTTTTTGTGTTTTACTTTTATATTTATTTATTTTATCCCGTTTTGTTTTTTAATTACAAATTTTTCCAATTTATATTCAATTTGCCTTTTAAGTTTCTAAAAATTTTTTATTTTCAATTTCATTTTATTTTTTTTTTAATTCAACTTTATTCAATTTTTTTAATTTGATCTATTTTTTTAATATTGTTTTTTATTTATATATTTATTTTTTTTATACCTAACTTTTATTTTTTTTAATTCTAATTTTATTTTCATTTTTAATTATTATTGTTCATTTTATATTTTTATATTTGACATTTTTGTTGTATTCTTTTGTTTATTTATTTATATTATTTTCCTTTCAATTATTTATTTATTTTATTACCTTTCATTATCTTATATTTATATAGCTTTTATTAATATATTTTACTTTAATTTATTATTTACCAATTTTTTTATTATTTATTTATTTTTTGTTACTTATCGGCCGAAAACAAAAGCATATAAATTTATTGTTTTATTATTTATTTACAGTTATTTATTTTAAAATTTTTGTTATTTATTTTTAAGTATTTAATTATTTTTCGCTATTTATTTATTTTTCGCTATTTATTTATTTTTTTATATGTATATTAATTTTTTTTATTTAATTTTTTTTTTCATTTAATTTTTGTTTTCATTTTAATTGAAATTTTTATTTTTTTTTATTTTTTTTTTATTTTTTTTTTATTTTTTTTTATTTTTTTTTTTTTTTTTTTTTTTTTTTTTTTTTGTTTTTTNTCATTTTATTTTATTTTTTATTTTTTAATTATTTTATATTTAATTATATTTAATTATATTTACATTTTTTTAGTTTTTTACTTTATTTTTTGCTTTATTTTTTATTTTATTTTGAATTTTATTTTTTATTTCATTTTTTATTATTTTATTACTTCTTGGTTATTCTGCATATATTTTTTAAATTTTTTTATTTACATATGTTTTTAATGAATTGTTTTTTATTTATTTATTTCCTTTTTATTTACTGATTTCTTTTTATTTATTTCCTTTTAGTTATTTTCATTTATTTTTATTTATTTTTAAATATTTTAATTTATTTATTTTTTTTTATTTATTTATTTGTATTTATTTTTGTTTATTTATTTTTTTTTTTTACTTATTGATTTTTTACAACTTTTTATAATTTAATTATTTACTTTTATTTATTTTAATATTTTTATTTGCTTTTTCTTTTCCTTTTTTAAATTTTTAACATAAATTTATCATGTAATTATTTATTGGTATTATATTTGTTTATTTTTTCAATTTTGTTTTTTATCCTTTGTTCAATTATATTAACGACGATTAAGCAATTAAAACAATTCCTAATTTTCAATTTTTGTTATTATTTTTCTTTATTTCTTATTATGATATAATACTCAATTTTTATTTTTTATCCTTTTTTAGCTTTTTGTATTTATTTTTATTATTATTTTTATTTTAATTTTTAATAATTATTTTAATCTTCACAATTTTAAGTTTTTTATTGTCATTTTTATATATATATTTTTTTTTCATTTTTATATTTTTTTTCATTTTCCTTTTATTTTTATAATTTCATTTTTGTTGTAATGTCTTTTGAGTGATAATAGATTTTTGTTTTTACTTTCACGTAATACGGTTTTCGCACTAGCAATATTAAATATTTGTTATGCGATTATATTTGCTGATATAAGCATGTAGGCATATATATTTACATACATATACATACATATATTTTAATTGCCTGGAAATCGTTCAAAAGTAAATAGTTTCGAATTAATAATTCTTAAACGATTTCTATATACAATAATATTATATATGTATTAAATTATATTTATATTAATATATAAAAATACATAGATTTGTACATATGTATAGCAGATCGGTACATAAATATAAGTGATAATCGAAATTTGCGACTCGTCTTCTCAAGATTAAATGACCTCAAACTCGGTGTGTGTATACAATTAAATTGAATAACGAAGAAAACAATAACAAGAAGAAGAAGAAGAAGAAAAAAACACATTTTTCAAGCCATAATTAATTTACAAATGTACTACTGATAAACATTCAACTTTGCCTCTACTACTAGGCTAGTCTAGGAATCAGCATAGTATAGTGAGTGTAATACAGGAGATGAACGCGGATGCGTCTAAAACGCCACTCAAGCTAATAAATCAATTATAGAGTAAAGAAAAAGTCAATTACAAAATTTATTGACAGGCCGGAAAAACCAGGCAACAGAGCAAGGATTAAATATTGTATTGGCACATTTGCGAAATTCAAAATTGTAAATATGGATCAAAACGTTAAATTCGATATAAACGAGAATGGACAGACGATTTACATTTGGACGCAGGTAAATAAGTGGAAAGCAGGATGGTGGTGTTGAAAATTTCAAATGCATAGCATAGAAAGTGATGAGTTTTTTTTTAGAAATGTGTAACATGTGTAATGTTATTTTCAGAATTCGAAATATTTAAACTCAAAATCAGCACTAGATTCGAGCGTGTTTGAATTGAAAAAAATAAAAATTTGGTACAAAAATTCAAAAAATCCATTTCTTTTTAAGTATTTAATTAGAGCTTTTTGTAAAAATTATACTCACATTTTTTATTTTAACATTTTCGGAGTTTTAGAATTGAAAAAATGCAAAAAAAAAAGTATATATTTTTTTTTAGCCAAAATTTCCATTTGGAGAAATAAAAATAATTAAACTGGTATAAAAAATATAAACAATTATGCAAAGCAAATAATTAGCACATTTTAGCTTTTTAGTGGTGCTCTGAAGCTTTAAAGTAAAAAAAAAAAATAAAAAAGTGAATTCGAAAAAATTACACTCAAGTAATTTTTGAGGTTATGTCAGAGTGGAATAATACAATTTGCTTTTTCTGTATATTATTATCCGCTCGGTCCTATTTGAAGGCACCTTGTAATATCTAGTATTTATGCAAGAACTTTCATATGAAGAAAAATATCACCACAACACACCACAATGAGCTGTGATCATAACGTAGAAGCTGGTCTTTAAATTAAATTATTTTTAAAAATTTCAAATCAACTTTGAAATTTTCATTTTCTAAACGCTAATACTTATTTTATAGCACAAAAAAATAAAATCCGAAATACTAGATTTCATGCATAAGACAATGGCAAAGCTGTTCCCAAATGGCAATAGCGAACGCAACGCACTTCTTCTCCTTCAGAATAGATTCTTAGCTAACTATATATGCATATTTACAGCTGAATATAAATGAATCGAATGTCATACATACATACATGCTAAACTATAAGCATAAATTAATTATAAAAATAACGCACTAAATTTTAAACGCAATTTTATAGAGTGCGTGGGATGGATTAAACGAAAGCAAAGCAAGTAGTTAATACTTAGAAAAGTGCTTAAGAAAGTAAAGTAAATTCAAGGTAGCAACGTACAACAAGTACACGTGTCATCAGGACATCAGCATTTACATACAAATGTATGTAGCGGCCGTTTCAGTCAATCAACTCTTGATGGATGGCTAGATATTGCTGCTTTAACATTAGAGCAGCAAGAATTCATACACATCCATACATATGAATGCACATGCAGTTACCCAGAAGTCTCATGCAAAAACCATTTCCAACGAGAAAACTATTAAAAGATATTTTGATATATGAAAACTGGCTGCGCACTGTTAGCAATATCTGCATTTTCCAAGAACACACTTCAGTTGCATTGGAAACGAGCTTATAAACGGTTCAAAACTATAACGAAAGAAACGAAAGTTTTAGCGCGTAATCAGTAAAGTACAAAAATTTCAAATACCATTGAAAATTGTTCTGAAAAATCGAGTAAATATGTAAATGAATTAAATAATATTATATAAAAGAAAAATTAATTATTAATAAAAATTAATTAACAACTATTAAAAT